AGTCTTTAAAGCAGTGTTGTCTTGTTGTGGTGTGAGACAGAAATCCTTGAGAGATGCTGTGGCAGATAGTTTAATCTCATTCTTCTTCTCTATATTTGGCAGCACTTTGGGCACACAGCAGCTTCCTCGGCCGTGGGTATTGGCGTGTGGGCTGGTATTCCTGGAAGAGGGCACTGCCTGTGTCTGTGACTGCCTCTGCTTCCGAACTGGGGTGCATGTAAGTTACTTTAAATGGATGCAGCGTTTATGTCACTAATTTCTCCTCTGCTAGGAAGCCAACCTGCCAGTGGCCTGATGCCTGCTACCACTTGGCAAAGGTACATTAGCGGCAGAAGAAGGGGCAACAATGAATTATTTTAACCATAGCCTGGTTGATTAGGTAGCTAAATGTCCTTCACTGTGCTACATTGAAACCCCCCACCCCATCGGTCCCAGGTGCAAATGTAGGCCAGACATCCATGTGACCAGTTAATGCGTACGCTGCAGTCTGCCCTATTGTGTAAGCAGGCGGTGCAGAAGCCTGGCCAGTCTCGGTCAGTTTGGGGAGGGGGGTGCAGTGTGGGGGGCTTGGCTGGGCCCCTCCAAGCAAGTGGGTCCTCAGGGAGCCCTGGGCTGGCTGATCGCACCACTCCTGAGGGGCCGGAGCGATTTCCCCAGCCCGGGTCCAGCCCTGGCTGCACTGCTGGCTCAGTCCGGCAGACGCAGTCGCCTCCCAGCAGGGCTGGTGAGTGCAGCCGGGAGGCAGAACTTGGGGGCGTGGGTCTGGGGGGAGGGGTGCTGGGCTTTAATTTGTGAGGGGTGGGGAAGAGCTGTGTGTGCTGGGGCACTAGGGAGTGGGGGTTCTGTGTGGGGTGCTGTGCAGGCAGGGGCGGCTCTAGGCACCAGCAAAGCAAGCACATGCCTGGGGCAGCCCATTTGCAGGGGCGCCAGGGATCCAGCAGGGGAGCTGAGAACCAACAGGGGGCCCTGGGAGCTGAAGTTCCTTGGTTAGCTCCCTGCCTATAGAGCCAGCCCTGGAGCGGGGAAAGAACTACATTTCCCAGCATTCCCTTGGCCACTACCAACAGGAAAGAGGGGGAGGGAGGGAGGGAGCGGAGACCTCATGCTGCAGTGAATGGAGAGCTGCACTGTGAGTAGGGATTCCATATTTTAACATTCAAAAAATAGGACACTCCACGGGGAGGGAGGGTAGCCCCACCCTGCCACCATCCAATCCCTCCGACTGCCCCCCACAGAAACCCCAACCCATCCAACCCCCCTGCTCCCTGTCCCCTGATCGCCCCTTCCCGGGACCCCTGCCCCAACTGCCCCCCAGGATCCCACCCCCTATCTAAGCCCCACTGGTCCTTGTCCCCAACTGCCCCCTCCTGAGACCCCCACCAACTTCCCTCCTAGGACCCCACCCCCTACCTGTCCCCTGACAAACCCCTGGGACTCCCATGCCTATCCAACTGCTGTCTGTCCCCTGACAAACCCCTGACCCATCTAACCCCCCCCTCTCCC